GGGATTTTACTGTATATATATGTACATATATATATATATATATATATATATATATATATATATATATATATATATATATATATATATATATATATATATATATATATATATATATATATATATATATATATATATATACATATATATATAAATATACAAATATATATACAGTAAAATCCCGTTAAGTTGGACTCTCAATGAACAGATAAACAGTATGCCGTTCTTTTTAAAAAGTATAAAGAGGATGTGTGATAAACAATTAAATACTTTATTATAAAGAACGAGAGATCTCTCTAAAGGTAAATGATATCAGAAAGAGTAAAAAGAGAAGAAATATATGTGAAACAGCGGGATGTGAACCTGGGTCTACGCGGCCAAATGTCTTAACTGAATGAGCTATACGTTCATTCAACTAAGTGAATAGTAATATTTATTTAATATACAATTAAGAAACTATATAAAACAGAATTTACAGAAAGAGATACGAATGCAAATAAGATTCTATATATCAGGAAAATGAATAGTAATGTGAACCTTTAGATGCTTGTAATTAATATCTGGACTCAAAAACTAGTTACTTTTAATGAAACACATTAGGCTGTAGGAGCCTCAGGGAAATTATATTCAGAAATGGTTATATTAGACTCAGAGTTTGCTAGAAATTATTACAAAATATTTAGGACAGATGTCTAGTACAAAAAGCAAAAGATTTAAAGCAAAATGATTTATATTATTTGAAAAAGTTGTTTTACGTACATTTCATCATAATTTAAGTAGAACTTAGTAAAGCAAGGGAAACGTGTTGAATTAAGCACAATGAACTCAATCTTAAAAGAATAACTAACATAAGAGAGGTTGTCACTATTGTGAAGGTGACGAAAGATCTGTAATATAGAACATGGAGGTCAAAAAATGCTATCTTAAGTAAAAAGAGTTTGATGAACAAAAGTTACAATGGCTGCGGGATGCGAACCGGGATCTCTGCGGCGAATTATCACGTATCTAACTGATTGAACTATACAATCTTATACTCAAATTTATATCTTATTAAAATTAAAAAACAATATTTTTTAAGATCTATACTTCGAAAAGCGTATTCAAACAGGACTCTACATACCTTTAAAATCTGCTAGAACTTTAGTAACGTGCACACTTTTAGAAATTATTGAAATAGGTATATTTTATCAGAAATATGCTTAAGCTAAAGCATATTTTTGAGCCTCTTTTTACTATTTGCTTAAGCATATTCGAACCTGTTTCAAAAATTTCATATGCTTTTAAAAAAAAAACATGTATATTCCTACCCATCATTCTTATTTTTAATATACGTAATGAGTTCAAAAAACATCGTTGTACATATTTATTATGGCACGTTTCGTAAGTTGATTTCCGTTAAGAATTCTTTCGTATGTTGTGATCCGAAATACTTTCGTTTCGAAAGAAATTTTATTTTTTATTAATATTTCTAAAAATAAAACCATAAAAATTTAATAGTTATTATACTGAGTTATAAAAATTCATTATAAACATTTTGGGATTTAAAGATGTTAATTTTTACAATTAAAATCAGTCTGGCAAACAAATTTTCTTTATAGACTTCAAAACGTCGTTTGGCGAAAATGTTTGTTTCGCAAGTGCGACTTCCGAAACCGCTACTTTCGTATGTTGCAAAATAGTTTTGTTTCGTATGTCAACTTGCGAAATGCTAAATTTCGGAAGTGGCTTTTGCGAAATGAACATCGGCGATTTTAAATGTTTTGTAACATTCGGTACGAAAAAATGTAATTCCGCGTTCTCAATCTCCTAACGAAAAAATGTTGTTTTTCCGGAATTGCACGAAATCCTCCGGTTAACAACCCTAGTTAAGGTTAAAAGATTTTTAAAAGCAGACAAATCCTTTGACTTGACATGAAATTTTAAGCAGACAAATCTTATGACTTATGAACTGACTTAAAATTTAGGGGCCCTTTTACAAATGTAAGGATTTTATTTAGTATTTTTATTTATATTTTTTTTATTTATTGGAAAAGTTCTCAAGAGTTTTGGAGCCCTTATGACAGTTTTTTTTTTTGAATGGAGGGGGCTTGTATCTAGTAGCCACGGCACTGAGTAAAAGGTATATACAATTGTATATATTTTGATACATATTAATACATATCAAGTTATATACAATATAAATATAAAATTATATTTATTTAATAGTTTTAAAATTAATATATCATTAACTAAAGGAATGTTATCAATTTATTATATGAGTCATATGCATGTGCTTATCTGTTACAAGTACATTTTAAAATGTTGAAATAAACGTCGAATATAAAATTAAATGTTATGTTTTTCTACCTTCGATGGTGAAAATTACATATTTTAGCTGAAGAGTGTTGGGACAAATTTTTAGAGTTTTATAACATATTAAAATTAATGTATGTGTTACCTATAACATTTAAAACTAACAGTTAAATTTAATTTTTTTACAGCTCATATTAAAACGAGATATTGTGTAAAGGAAGTCGTTTTAACAACAATGGAAAAGCTTCCAATTCCCGAAATAACCGTGAAAGCATTCGAAACATGATTAAAGAACTGTTTAAAAATTTGCTTAATTTCGACAGTGCAATTTTAATTACTATTTTTTTTTGAAATAAACTAATCAAGTTATATATAAACTTGCTTTTTCTGTTAATTTTAAGCATTTAAACGTATTTTTGCTAGATTTGCAATGGGTAAACCTCCTGGGAACCTCACGGGATACCCGGCGGGCATACACATATGGGACCCAGAAGAAAACCATGGCTAAGATCCGGCGGGTTCCCAATGGGTTTCCCATATGGATCCCATTTGAAACCCAAATTGGTCTCTTGCGGTTTTAAAGTACGGGATTTGTTTAGGACCCATACGGTCCCCCGGCGGGCTAAGCCATATGTGCCCCATATAGAAACCGAGGCCATGATACTGGGATACCCTTGGTTTTCCCATACGGGATCCAGTGTACGACCCGTATGTCAATGTTGGCTGGGAAGTCTTTTCTTTTTTCCATTGGAACAGAGTTTGGGTCAATTAGATTCAAAGCTTTTAGCTTTTCCGAATAAGATTGTTTAATTTTTTTCCTGTTCTTCTGCTGTCTCTATAACATCATTTAACTCCATTGCAGTAAATGCTCTAGCAACAAGCTAGACTTTGCGTCCAGTAGTACTTAGCCCACGAATATTTAAAAAACTAACAAGCTGTTTGACAGATAAGTTCAAAAAATCTTCGTATTTTTCAAGTGGCATTTTAAAATATAATTTTCAATGATATATTTCTAGATAAACTATTTTTAGATATTAAACAAACATTAAAAAGATAAAGCGTATTGTCAATTTATTTAGGGTTAGAACTATTGTTATTGTTATTGTAAAAATTAAATACAATAACAATTACAATACAATAATATTGTATTGTAATACCAGAGATGCAATTAAAACATTTATGGTTATTGTATTGCTGTGAATAAAAACAGTTACAATAACTATTGTATTATTTTTTTTTTCTAACAATACATTGAAGCTCTAAAATTATTGTATTGTTTTGCTGTGATGTAATACAATTACATTAACTATTGTATTGTATTGTTGTGATGTAAAACAATTACAATAAGCACATTGATGTATTATATAACTATTTCAAAGTCTAATAGCTATTGTATTTTATAGTATTTAGACTCTTTTTTCACGCATTTATTATTATTTGTGCACTAGATAATTTAGGGGTGCCCGTGACGCTCGTTTTCAGCAGTCATTTATATATATAAATTTTTATTTATTTTGAGAAGTGAAGTGAAGCCAGGGAAGCCAAAGAAGTATATATACTACGTATACTTAGTTCAATTCAATTCAATATATTCTGAAATAAGTTGTAAAATTTCAAGGACTTTTACAAACAGTACAAGTACTAATCTAAAGTAAAAACCTGCAACATTACAATAAAAGTGATTATAATAACAATAATAATAGTATTGATAATAATTATAGAAATAATATTAACAATAATAATAAGATGACGATGAAAAGGAGTATTATTAGTAATAATACTAACAATAATAATAAAGATACAATCAAATCTTAATAAATATTAGGTTTCTAGAAACCATTTACATATATAAATTTTATTTATTTTGAGTTCAATAATATAACTGTTTCAATAATAATTTATTTAGAATTAACATTAATAATATTCATTCAAAATCATACAAATATATGATTTATTATATGCTTGTAATTAAGTAATTATTTACTTTAAGAAATAAACTTTTATATTTTTTTATAATTTTGTCTAAACTGATATTGACATGTTTCACCGGATGATGACATCTAAACTAATTGATTAACTACATTAAGTGCTTTTTTTCTCAATATATCTAACCGCTAATGTGTAATCAATTACATCGTTATGGAATCAAAGAACCATTAACCTGAGTAATTATCGATTATTTTTGTCTGAAAATGTGAACTACTTTTGTTTTGTTAAAAAACTTTCTACATTTTCAGATTGTTCATCACCTATCAGACCGTATTAATAAATTTTGTGTGGATCATTTTTGAAAAATGAGGCAGTTTAGAACACCAAATAAATATTGGTTCTTGATTTATGTAACAAAACTCTTTTATAACTTTGCAACTATATGTCCAGTTACTTTATGAACCTAATTTAAAATGCATTAAAATAATAATTGATACAAATGATAAATTTAATAATATTTAAAAAAAAAAAATAATAGTAATAAGGTTTACTACAAAATTTTACTTTTAATAAAAAGTTTTCTATTCTTAAAGCTTTATTTCGCGTTTTGTTTTGCCCAAACGTGACGTCACGCGCTAAAAGATGTTGGCTTCAAAATATTTAACTTACGGCGTGTCTATAGTTTATATGGTCGAGAAAAAAAACATTAGGTCACGTGATTTATAAAAAATCACGTGACCTAATGTTTTTTAATTACGAAAAGTTTTAATTCTATTCTCTCGAAATTCCACTAGAATAAGCTTGTTAACGTAGTATTCAAAATCTTTAGAAACATTACGAAAAATGGGTACAGATATTTTATTAAATCATCTTATTCGGAAAAATTTTGATCAAGTGCAAGATGTTTTAGATGCTTATGATGATATTAATGTTTTGTATAGGGAAGGCTTTTTTTTTGGACGTGCTTTATCAAAAAATAAGGTAAAAATCTTTGAAGCATTAATGGCTTATTTTGAAAATAAGCAATTTCCAATAAAAAATGAAATTTATAAAGACGAAAAGAAAAAACTTACAAATATTTTAGAAGATTTTGCATGTGAAATAGAACTTTCTTCAAAAATGAAAAAAATTTTATCCAAATATATAGACTTTGATTTTAGCAGTATTGATAGTAGTGAGAATGACTTTAATAATGAACCTGTTAGTTATGATGTAGGTATGCACAATGACTTAGGTAGCACTTTTCCAGCAGGTAATGAAACAGATATTAGTTCTAAAAGCACCAATTTTGAGTTAACTCCAGGAAATTGTTCTTGTAAGTTTTTAAACTATGGTTTTCACATATATACATATATATATATATATATATATATATATATATATATATATATATATATATATATATATATATATATATATATATATATATATATATATATATATATATATATATATAAATATATATATATATATATATATATATATATATATATATATATATATATATATATTAGAAAAAAACACTTTTCAAATTTTTTTTTATTTAACACTGTGTTTCATCAATAAAGACTCATTAGATTTTCTGATGAGTCTCTATTGATGGAACACAGTGTTAAGTGAAAAAAAATTTTGCCAAGCGATTTTCCTCTAAATTATAATTGCTCTGTTTTTTTAAGAACTCTATTATGTAGAACTGACTAAGGCTTTGCTATGGGGCAGCAGTCTTCTTTTAATAATTTTCATTTTTTAATTAAAGTAACAAAAATATGGTAACAATTTGTTACATAAATATGCTATAGTGTATATATATATACATTAACAGTCTTCTCCATTTAATGAGCGCTTTTGCGCTCATCCACATGCCAACCAATATTACAACTAGCGCTTTCTTAAACCCTCGTCGAAAAATTCAATTGTGCTTTTAAATTGCAGCATATGCCTCGTATAACCGGCCTTTTGCAGGCTTCAGCAGGAAGCGAAAGCTAAAGCTCTCACTTCCTGCTGAAGCCTGCATATTTATATATTTGTATATGCGTATGCATAGTCGATGACAGTGGTTGGTGGCGCATGCTCCTTCCCCCTCTCCAATTTTTTTTTTTAATAAAAGTCTTTTTTGTTAGAAAATTCTAGATATAGACAACTTTTTTTAGAAATTGACGGTTGTGTATGTTGTGTACATATACATACCATGTATATACATATACATGGTATGTATATGTATATTTACATATATACAAATATATAATATTTCTTTTATTAACATTTGATAATCATTGATTTTAGCATTTTGTGACTCATACAACATCAAAGCAAACGTAGAAAAATGGCTGTCACACACACCGTAGACTTAATGTTCATGCAACAGACATTAAGCAACTCTTTCTGCTACTTATAATATGGAAATTTATTTAAGATAATATTATTGTAGTTATATGGATGTCTTTTTTGTAAATATGCTTTTTTTATACTATGTTTTTTGAAAAGGAAATGTTGGAGCAATCGTTTTTAATTTGAAAATAAAATCTTTCTAATAAATAAATTTTTTTAGAGATTTTCAAGTTAAATGGAAATTTCTAAGTTAAATGGAACAAATTCAAAACAAAAAACAAAGTCAAAAATTAAAAAAAAAGACATCTCAATACACACTATTTTGAATGATAGCAGTGCAAGTGGTAGATGTTTGAATAGCAATTTTAATAAAAATAATTATTTTATTATGCATTATGAGGTCAGCAATAATGACTTATATTGCACTTATCAAATAATTATCATTTTTATGGGCACTTAATTTGTGTTAACTACAGACGTTTTCTTTAAGTTTAACTAATTTGGTCTTTTTTTAATTGTTGTTTGTATTATAATTTAAATGAAATTATAATATTTTCTATTATAAATATTTATTTGATAATCTATGACTTAATCATATTGTGACAAATGAAAAATAAAAGTATAATTTGTAAATCAAAAGAAATTTCTTCCTGTTGCTTGAACAGCATGTTTCGGTTATAAATACGTCTGTAATATTCTTTTCTTTTAAAGGGATCCCAAACTCCCAACACATGTTGTGCTCATATTAAAGATAATGTTAAAAAAAAAAGTTTGAACCAAGATTTTTTGATTAAAAATAAATAATGAATGCATACCGAGAAAAAATTATGTTGTTGTTTCAGCCGAAGTTCACATTCTCCATTTTTTTCAATAACTTGGAGTCTTCAAATTATACGTCGCAATCTACAGACTGGCGATTCCTTTAATTTATAAAAGTTTTAGTATTTGACGTCGCTTTAGGCTTTTAAGAAATGAAACTCAGGGAATATTTTTATTTATTTTTATTCGAAATTTTTTTGGTTATTTGTTTAGTTTTTTTTCTTTCTATTTTTAACATTTAAAAAGATATTTTATGCTGGTTAAAAAGATATTTTATGCTGGTTCGTTGCTATAAATTGTTATTGCGCCATATATTTAATGTTTATAAATTATGAATATTTATTATCTCAATCAAGACTTTGATAAAAAATTGTTTTACATTAATTACCCATATAAAATTAGTAAGAGCATTTTTATTTTGTTAGACGATATTTCGTTTCAATTCGCTTTGCGAAAGTCAAACGAAAAAAAATAGCACGTCGAAATATATTTAAAACAAATTATTTTAATGACGGGGTTTTAAAGTTTTTTATAACAAATGTAGTAATAATGCATGGCCTACTTAAATTACACGGCCTGATTTGTTGCATTTTCCGTAAAAAATTAAGAGGCCAGTTTTTTAAGGCTCAAGTATAAAAACTTAACTTTCGCTATGGTAATGAGTCTTGTTTGCACTTTAATTGGTTTATTCTTATTAAAATGGTTTAATACCCAGCAAACAAAAAGATATCTAAAATGCATCTAATATGCATCTAAAAACTGATTTAAAAGATGTCTAAATTCAGGTCTAGAACGGGACATAAATAGACGTCTATCTTATAGACGTCTTTTAGATGCATTTTATTCGACACAAATAATTGCCCTAGATGCATAAAAGAGGTGAAATATACATCTTACAGATGCATATTAGATGTATAAAATACGTCTCTTAAATAGATGTCTAAGGCGCGTTTAAAAAAGATAGATAATAGATAATTATTTAGTTAATAATAGCTCTTTTATACATCTAATATACATCTAATTTACATCTTTAATTGTATATTTCACATCTTTTATGCATCTAAGGCATTTATTTGTGTCGAATAAAACGCATCTAAAAGACATCTATAAGATAGACATCTATTTATGTCCCGTTCACGACGTGAATTTAGACGTCTTTTAGACCAGTTTTTAGATGCATTTTAGATATCTTTTTCTTTGCTGGGACTTGTTTGATACAAAGGTGTTACAGCGGTTAAATTAGTCGTAAAAAAGGATTAAATTAAATAACTAAAGAAACATTTTAACTAACATTACTTAATTTTTATTTCACAAAAACATACATAAGAAACTATATTTCTGCATTGCCGTCAACATTTTCTTCCACGTCGCCGATATCTAAAATATATACATTAACGACATTTAAATGACTTTAAAAGACATGTAGAATTCTGAATCTATTTTTATGAAATATTATATATATATATATATATATATATATATATATATATATATATATATATATATATATATATATATATATATATATATATATACACACATACAGTATCGGACAAAACCAGTGCAACCAAATGATGCTAATTTAGTTTCTTTGTATAAAAGTGCTGCATTTTTTCAATTTAGAGAAATAACTATGTAACTGTTTAGAGACAACGTTCTTCAAATTTTATTCATCACAAAGTTCATTATTTGTACGGCCTTTTGGATTTGTTCAAACAGTTGATCCTTATTACGAACACATTCATGATTAACTCTGCGGTTGACGATCTCCCACAGGTTCTCAATAGGGTTGAGATCCAGAGGTTGAGGCGGCTAATCCATCACCAATAGATGGTTGTCTTGAAACCACTGCTTGACTACTTTTGCAGTGTGTTTGGGATTGTTGTCTTGCTGAAAAACCTATTTTATTGGTATATTCCATTCAGCATGAGGTAACATAACATCTTTCAGGATACTTTTATACATGAAACGGTCTATTATTCCATCAATTCGATGTATTGGACCTAGACCGTTAGTAGAAAAACACCCCCCAGACCATTACATTGCCTCCACCATGCTTCACAGTCTTATGGCAGTAATGTTAATTAAGGCGTTTTCCGGCCGCTTGACGTACAAGCAGCTCTAATTGCTTTTGTATCTCAACTGATGATATCCAGGGATCCTTCTTGACAGATCTGACGAACATAGAATTCTCTCTAGAAATGGTGGAACGAGGTCTTCCACCATTGTTATCTGCTGCCAACTTCCCTGTGGAACAATATTTGGAACATAGTCTTGATACGATCTATTTTTTCACGCGATATTTATCAGAAATATTTTTTTGCGACACTCCACTTAAGTAATCGCAAATAATTTTCTCTCTTAGTTCCAATCCAAGACTGTTGGGAACCATTTTTGCACTTGAAGTCATAAAAATAATAAAAATAAATAACCACACTTTTAAAGGCTTACCGTGTTACATTTACCTTGTGATGATAAAATATTGCTCTGTGGAACATAATGTCTTGGTTGGATGTGGACTGTATTGGTGTAATGAAACACTTGTTGTATTTCACTTCTGGTATTAATGTTCTTTGATAAAACACTTTGATAAAACTCACTTCGATAAACTGTCTTGATAATACTGACTGATTGACTTCCATATACTGACTGAATTACATGTCTCTTATATAGTAAAATGAACCTGTGTGAACCTGTTCTGGAAGATTCTAGATGCTTCTTTTCAATACTTCTGGAAGTTTCTGGATGCATCTGAATGCTTCTGAATATTTCTGGATACTTCTGGATGCTTCCTGATGCTTCTTCTGGAAACTTCTGGAAGCTTGTGCATGCTACTGGAAACTTCTAGATACTTCCTTTAATTATTAAAAAACTTCCGTGACGTTGACATGGACCAGACTTGAGAAAATGAAACAAACCAAAAAAGTTGCACTTGTTTTGTATGCTGCAAAATGGCACTTGACAACGAAATTCTGCCTGTGTGCTGTCACCTGTCATAGCTGACAGGTGACAGCATGTCACATCATGGCATGCTATGACTCCAAACTCCTGAACTGTTTGCTGTGGTAGTATAGTTCGTTTCATTTTTAAGACATATAAAATTAGGACACTTTTTAGCATTGTTCGATGTTGGTTGCAAATGTTTTGTCCAATATTGTATATACACTCATATACATGTATATATATATATATATATATATATATATATATATATACATATATAAACAAGAAGATTTGTATCTCAACCAGATACAATAATAAACAACAATTTTTTTATGAAAAAACTAAAGGAACTTATATTATGGATACAAAAATTCTAGCATGACACAAAAAAGTCGAAGAATATCTTTTTAATACAGATATCAGTTTTGTAAATACTATTAAAACTATACCTCGTAAAACACTCCATATATTTACTAGATTTTCTAAGCTTATCTTTTCCCCATTTTCTTTTCGATTTAATTTGGACTGTAACTGATTCGAAAATAACCTGATATATATTTTAACAATAAACTGAAATATATTATTGTAATAAATTAAAATATATTATTGTAATAAATTAAAATATATTTTAATATATGAATGCTTAAAATTATGAAAGGTAAAAGCATTAAATTTGAAAATAAAATGCTAAACAAGGTTTAGCATTACACTTACTTTAGCACACAAACAAACTTTAACACCTACAGCGAAGCTCCCGAGTTTATCAAATTGCGTCTACTGTGTCTCTTTTTGTAATATTTCTGCGTCTCTTTTTGTAATATTGTAATATTTTTTAATTTTGTAATATTTCTGCAAAATAAATTTCAAATCACAAGGATTTTAGCAAACATGCTAAGCATCAAATCATCGAAATATTTTGTGAACTATAATAGCATGTTATTTTATTATTTAAAATTTATCAAAAGAAATAATCATTGATGTTTTCCGTAGGTTAAAATCTTCATGCTTTTTTCGAAATTAGTTTAAGCGTGGTTTTTAAATGGCGGTCATTTATAATTGTCGCTCCGTAAAATTAGTTGATATTTTTTTCTTGTTTTTATAACAAATCTATAAAAGACATCTTATAGACATCTAAGTTTAGATGAAAAAAAAAAAATTATACATGCACGATCTATTTTGTGCATCTAATATGCATCTAAAAAAGAGCAAAAATAGTATCTCTAGAATCAGACGTCTTTTTGATCTCTAATATACGCCTAAAATATACGTATCGGCAATAGATACAAATTAGACCAATTTTAGACGGTCTAAAAGACGTCTATTGTTTGCTGGGTAATAGTTAGATTTTATTTTGTACTTACACTATTTTGTGCTAGATTTTTTGTTAACTGATCGCCTGTTTCAGTTTATTCTAATAACACAGAATACTGAAATAGGCTTTCAGATAGCTATATCAACACATACCAACATGCTACTAACAATAACTTTACATGTTGCTAAGATTGCCCAAAACTCTTCATTGAAAGAAAAAATCAAAGAATGTAGTTTTGTATTTTTTATAATTGAAATTAAAAGAAGAAATACCTTTTTTACTAGGAATATTTATTTTGCCTAGCCTTTTTTGTAATTTTTTTACTTGATCTTTACTCAATGAATATGTAACTTCTTTTTGCAAATTGTTATAAAAATATTATTAACAATACGAGATCTATATTTGACTCCCCACTTTTGGTGCTTTTCATTAGTAAAATTGTCATGGCTACAACAAATCTATAAAATTTGTTTTGCAAATTTTTAATTGAAAAAGAATGACTGCAATTTTTTATTTGAATAAGGGAAATAACATAAAATACTTAACAGAAGACAAATAAAGTAAGACAGGTTGAATTGGATACATAGGTTCTTCTCTGTATAAAGTAACATTTATTAATCATAAAATTAACATCAATATCTTTTTGTTAATTTTTACCATTATTCCTTGCTTTAGCATATAAATCTGTGCTATTTTTAAAAAGCTGACACTAGTAATTATGTAGACAACTAAGCTAAATCTTGCATAATATTTTTTAATGATTATCAAAATTCTGTTAAAATATTTTTTGGGTAAATCCGCGAAAATCTTTTTACTAATGCACGTTTCTAATTATACTTAATTTTTTATTAATGCATGTTTTTAATTATACTTACTAAAACCTAGCTCCAAAAGATTACTTTGTAAATTAGAACTAAAAACAACTGCGAAGCCTTCTTCAAAAAAATCATTCATAAGAGATACAGTTGTTTGCTTCTTCAAAAAAATCATTCATAAGAGATACAGTTGCTTGTAGTGTTGTTATAAGAGCACAAGAAGTTTTTTTGGTTAATGGGAAGTATTTAAATTTCAGTAATATTAGCAATTTCTCTACAAAGTGTGGGTTTGTTATCGCCTTTTAAAGCAACGTTGCTGAGTTTGATTGGATAAATTAAGTTTCTGCTTTGAATTAAGTATGATAAATAACTTATATAATAATGATTAAAAGTGTGTTGCATTATTTTTTTCAGGAAAATAACTCTAAATGACAGCTGCAGTTGTTTCGTCAAATACTATCAATGTTGACAACTTGTTTGTTGTTTCCAAAAAAAGTTACTTGATAATTAATTTTACTTGCCTGTTTATTAATCTTTTAATCTGTTAATTAATCTTTTAGTAAACTTCATAAAATATATTCTCTGCAATGTAACTAGCAGTAACTTTACATAGTCTCTGGAAAAACCAAATGAAAAAGACTAATTTTTTTTTTTTTTTTTTGCGTTAATAAGTTTTTTCTTACATTTTTTATAAAACGAAGCATATCAAATAGTAAGTATGTTTTATACACTCCTTTTTTAAACTGAATGATAAATTAATAGTTTTCCATCACCAATATATGCTTTATGAAACTATAAAAATGCATTAACATTAGTAGAATGGTTATCTGTCACAACAGCTCTTATTTTAAATTCAGATTGGTGCATTGAGGTAATACACTCATCAATTTCATTTTTCAAACATAAACTTGTTATGTAAACTTTTGGTGAGGATTTTAAAATTATAAAAATTATTTTCTCAATCTTCATCAAATTGTTTACAACTTTGATATTGAGCTGCTTTTTGGAAGTACATCTTAACCACAAGAAGAAGTATTTCAGTACTATGAGAAGAATTTTTGTCAATAATACTTCTATTATAATATAGTTTTTTAATTTGTAATTTTCACCACTGCAAAACCATTTTAATAAAGAAATATGAAATATGATAAGCATTTATTAGGCAATGAAAAATTAAGAATTTTATTAACAGATATTGACTCCGTTGGTATGCATGATATTTCCTGGCCATTTTAATTGCTGTATGTATGAAACATGCAGCATAGTATATTTCAAAACATTGTTTTGCAGTGTAAATATTTTTAAAGAAAAATCGATTTTTTATATCTAATAACTGCAATTATTATAAATACAAAATTACAAACCTTTAAAATTATTTCCAATGGAGAGTTGTGGGTAATTTTAGCAACATGTAAGGTTATTTTTAGTAGCATGTTAATATGTGTTGATATAGCTATCTGAAAGCCTATTTCAGTATACTGTGTAATTAGAATAAACTGAAGCAGGCAATCAGTTAACAAAAATTCCAGCACAAAATAATGTAAGTACTCAAATAAAATCAAACTATTATTAAACCATTTTAATAAAATAAGAATAAACCAATTATAGTGCAAACAAGATTCATAACCATAGCGAAAATTAAGTTTTTATACTTGAGCCGTAAAAAAACTGGCCTCTTAATTTTTTACGGAAAGTGCAACTAATCAGGCCGAGTAATTTAAGTAGGATATGTAATAGTAATATATTTAAATAAGTCTTTATTTATTATCATTATTTTTTTATTATTATTACTTTTTTTTTTTAATTTTATTATTATTTTTTTTTATTTTTTTATTCTTTTTATTTTTTTTTTGCTTTAATTTAATTACAATTTACGTTTATGACAAATGTACTTAAAAAGTCAATATTTGTAGCTGCTAAAGCACGAATTAATTAAATTAAACGTGCAGCTCATCTTCAGTAAAAGATGCACTGTTTGCAGCACTAGGAAAAAAATACTTGTCAATTCTACTTTTGAATGCGTTAATTGACTGAGCCTTTTTGCATGACAACGGTAAATAATTCCAATCATTCATAATACGATTTGTGAAGAAATTATGTCGAGCATTATTGTAAGTGAAATCACGCGTTAGTACGTTGGATGGTGATCTGCGAAGAGGTGGATTATGCCAGTTAATAATTTCAAAACCGTTTTCAAGTTTAAACTGTTGGATTAAGTCGCCGCGTCGCACAGTGTTCTATTTTGCTTATCTGGCAGCACTTTATTCAAAAATCGAAAGTTAATGAAAATAAAATCTATGCATGTATTTCAGTTCCTAAATGTTCAAAGCATCTAAAAATGATAAGATACTAAGAAAAACAATAATGCCTTAGCTGAGTCAGTGATCAGAATTTGTTTATTTTATGAAGTAAATATAATAACTATTTTTTTAGTCTTATTAGAGTGTGTGCTCAAGCACACACTCTAATAAGACTAAAAAAATAGTTTAGACAATAGTAATAGTAAGACAATACGTATAGTATTGATATTTTCTAAATTTTTTAAATACTTTTTTTACCTATAGTTTGAAGTAATGGATTCTGAAATTACAGGTAATTTAATTCATTTTTCAGGATTTTATCTTTTTACTCAGATAGTGTTTTTAACATTATTTTTTAAATTATATTAGGCTTTTAAAAAATATACCCCATTTCTCCTCAATAAACTAAATAAAATCTTGTAGAATAATGTTTTCTCTATATGATGTATAAAATTCATCTGCAAATATTTGTTTAATAAATGTTTTTTCACAGAAAGTGTCGAAATTACCTATGAAAAATTATACAATTTGTGGAGAACTATAGTTTTTCTAAATCAGAATTACTATCCACTTTCCGACTTTTCAAAATATATTCACAAATTATATATTAACTCGCTCAGTTGATTTAGTATACTAAATCAACTGAGCGAGTTAATATAATTTGTGAATATATTTTGAAAAGTCGGAAAGTGGATAGTATTTCTGATTTAGAAAAACGGAATCTGAAAAATCAAATTTCATTTTTTTCTATTAAATTAAAGCAGAAATGGGAGCAAGCTCGTCGCAGCCATGCATATTTTGTTCGGAAATATGCGAGTTAGCTGAAGCTGGTTTTTGAAAGAAAATATTTTTCAGAAGAAGATCTAGAAGCTTGTAGTTCTTCAGTTGCTTGCCGTCCATCAAAAGCTTTTGAGGAATGCTCCTTTAAAGTACAAAAGCGCAAAGCTAAAAAACTTCCGAGGAAATATTGCTAGCCGCCGAATTAGCAGTTAGAGCTGAAGGAAAACGAGATACGGCAAATTTATATAAAGAATTATCAAGCGCCTCGCCGGAACGTGCCACAAAAGTTAAGAAAGCCCGAATAAGTATTGAAAATAAGTTGGAACCTATGCAACCCGATAGGGCACTTGCAATGATAGTTAATAACAAATTTTCTATCCCTCAATATAAAAATATAAGAAAAGAAGCTAATGCATCAGGGCATCGAGTGTATCTATCATATAACAAAGTTTTGAAAGAAAAATATAAATGTTATCCCCGGAAAATGGTATCACTGTGACCGATATAAGTGCCGAAGTTACACTCTAAGATTTACTGGAT